CCTAGGTTCCCTTTCCACAAGCACCACATTGTTGATTTTTGTTTCTTTTCACCTTTGAATTTCCAAAACAAATATTAGGGCACCTTCAATACATACATCAGCCACTGTTACAGTCTCAGGGATATAACCAAAAAAGACAAGCTCCCTCCCTCAGGCTCTCACCAAGCTTGCTTTCTGCACAAGAAAGACAGGCAATAAAGAAGCAGGCCAGTAAATGAGCAAGAGAATTCCAGAAAGTGGTAAATGCTACAAATAAAAGCAGAGTGCTAGGCATCTTCTGTTTCCTTTGTAAGATCTTGAGCTACCCTATCACTGTGGAGTTTTCCCTTAGACCAATTTAGATCAGCTGGAGGAGCTTGATTTACATTTTAAAAGGAAATTAAAATGTTTTGAATTACAACTAAGAGCGTTCTTTTTAAGGGAGAAATATTCCTTTTTCATGAAAATTATTTTTTCTTTCCTTCCCAGACTGCCAGAGCTGTTTTTAAACAAACAAAAATTAACAATATATTGATGAGAAGTTCATCACACCAGGTTTAACCTGCTTTATAGTAAACAAAATCCTAACATTTACTTAATTATCTAGTGCTGTGCATTTTCCCTGTGATGAAGGACTTTTAAGATCCACATTCTTAGCAAGTTTCAAATATGCAACACAGTATTATTAGCCATAGACACCATGTTGTACATTATATCCCCATGGCTTACTTATCTTATTGCAATGCATTTCTTTTCCCAAGGGACAGAGAAAGTTTTATGTGCAAAATTATCCGAGGGTAAGACATCAGACTGACGTGAGAGAAGACACTGTCCTCTGTTTCCACTACCTCTGATTTAGATTTTTAGGGATTATCTTTGTTCATGTAGGTTTTTTGAAACTAAAAGAGGAGTTCTGTGAAATTTAAATTAACACCCCTTAGCAGTTCCAGCCAAACAGTGTGGCCCGTGGATTTCAGCCCTTCTGACTACTCCAGCCACAAGAGACATGGACATCTCCATGGACACCTGGTCTACCATGACCTGCACCCTGGCCAGGCAGGGAAAATTCACAACTCTGTTTTCCTGGGTATCTTGGTAGGTATCCAGATCCGTATTTCAGGTCCTTGGAAGAAACAGTCATCATTATTTTCATCTACCTCTAACAATTTGCGCTGACTAGGGACTCAGTGAATACCTGTTGGTTGGCTGTGAATTGACTTGACCTCCATTTCTGTTGCTGTGCTTCTGGCCCCACACCCTCAGCAACCTCTGTCTCACCTGTAAAAAGAAGCTACATGTGAAGTGTAGTGTAGCTTCCGTGTGTTACACACATTTGCTCTTAAAAGGAATCCTATTTATCTCAGTGTGTTCAAGTGCTGACCACATAGTATCTTCAGTCTCAAGAAACAGAGCAAGAGTGGTTAGGGGTTGATGCAGAGCATATTTCAAAACTACCATTTCTGGAAACATACACATTTTCTGTTGTGAACATTTGAAAAAGACACAATACACTGTAGTCTGAAGCAGCGTCTGTGGACGACATTCACAAATCTTCGCCATGTTCTTTTCCTTGCTCCCTCTACCCCCTCCGTCCTGACCAACCAGCCCTTTCCTTTTTCTACAGCTCTGCACCATTCAGAGTAGGCAGCTGTAGAGAGACAGGAGCACTGGTGAGGTAGAGGAAGTCTCGGAGAGACTCTTCTGACTTCTGAATGTCCTTAGGGCAGTATTCTCAAGGTCTCTTCTCTGCTCAGATACCTGTCCTGCACTTTCCACCACAACACCAAGTGCAGACAAGGTGAGTTGTTTTTTCCAGAAATCAGAGCATGACTTCTTGACTTTCCTCTGCATGCCTGTACACACACACACACACACACACGCACACATGCACACGCACACACATGGATGCAAAGTGGACTGGACTTCTCCATTCTTGCTGGGAGGATCTGGGATCTCCAAGTGCAGAGATGGCTTTCTGTTCCAGCAACTTTTGAAGCAGTGATGTGCTGAAGCCCTGAGCCCGAGGACAAGGTCAGAGGTCAACAGTTAAAAGCTGGATTGCAGATGAGGGGGAGTCAGGCATGACTGGACAGGGAGGGATTATGAACACCCACCTACGAGCCCTAGGCATCAATGCTAAACCTGCTTCCAGGAGGATCTCTTGGTGAACTCCTCTTGGACCATGGCCAGGCCAGGGCAGCACCTGGCAACTGGCAGTAGCTTTTAATAAATGTTTGTTCCATGCACTACTGAGCAAACCAGTGAATCAGTGTGAACCAAAATGGCCAAGAATGGAACCAGGCTATCCAACTTCCAACCCAGGAGTTGCTTTTTGTGATGATAAAAATAAAACCAGCGTTCCTAGAAACAGGAATTGGACACCGCAGCCTTTATGTGACAACTGGATTGTGAGACCCAGAAGAGACCAAACGGAAAGGTAAAAAAGAGAATAAACGTGCAACAATTAAGACACGTCTGTATACATTTGGGCCTTTTTCCATTCTTACAGAACCCAGAATTCATTTTTACTGACAAATATCAAAAAGTCTGCCAAGATTCTGGTACTTCACCAATTCAGACAGATGAAGATTATCATGCAGCGAGACAGAAACAAAGACCCCAAAAGTGTCAGAGCAGAAACTGGTTACTGTCCTTTGAGCGTCCGTTCAGCCTCTTCCCCACTTCTACCTAATAACAGATTGTGCTTAAGAATACTTTCATACTTAGCACCTTAGCAAAATCCCAAAGAAGACCTTGCAGCCTCTTGTTCCTATTCAAACCCCCGACTACTCCTTGCTGACTTGGTTCAAGGGAAGAAAACACACACACAAAGACAAAAACCAGCAATTCTTGAGTGTGATTATCACTGGGCTTCTCCCAGCCAGAACTTTCTGCAGAGTGGGTCCCTTCTGATGGCTTTCTTCTCTAGGTTCTCTGTCCTTCCAAAGGGAAAGCCTGCTGGGAACCTACTAGTTCAGCCTCATTCAACCTGGCCTGTTCATCTTTATCCTGTCCCACAACATCCCTGGCAAGGTACCCCCACCCAAACTAACAACCCCAAAAGAGCAAATACAAACAGAAACTTCATCATTTTAGGAAACCCTGTTCCACCCAAATGCTCACACCCCTGTCTCCTTGCCACTGCCCTCTCCCCACAGGCAAGGCATGGCACTCTTCCATTCCCACACACACCCCAACAGCCAAATGTGAAATGTAGATGTTTATTTAGAATGCACAAATGCACGTGGAAGGGAACAGACAGGAACCCCAGTTCTAGGCCCAAGGCTTAACCAACACACTTCGGAACTCCTTGGGAGCTCCATGCTCTCACCCCACCTTCAATTCGTGGCACATCCGTGTCCATTTCAGTTAAGTAAAAATGTCCACATCTAAGGGCAGCAGGGCGCGACACCTCATGCCCAGACCACATCCCTCGCCAAATGCAGCATCTAAAAATCAACGAACACCCGCGGCCCGGGGGCGGGGCGGGGGGGGCGGCCTGAGGAAGCAGATGACTGGGAGCTGCGTCTGACTAGGGGAGACTACAGGATGGAGGAGTCGGGAGGGGCGTCCAGGGACCACGCCTAGCAGTCCTATCAGGTCCACGGTCAAGTAGGGGCAGAAACAGCCGCTGGACAGCCGGGGTGCGCCGTGCGAGAGGCGGCTGGGCCACGCGGCCCGGGTGGATCCCCGCGCCCAGGAGGCGGGATCGCTGGGGGCTGTAGGGCCCGCACATGACACGCTCGCAGGCCCAGGGGCTGCACCCCAGCGGCGCTCAGGCGGGCAGTGTGCCCAGACAAGTACCAGCAGCGAGGTTGGGCTGGACCCCAAGTGCCCAGGGACGAAGACTGCCCAGGACTGGGGAGTGAGCGGCAGATGGGAGCAGGAAGCCAAAACGCGACCCTGGAGAGTCTGCCGGGAGAAGGCGCCGCGGAAACGCGGTTCCCGAGCGAGCAGCAGACAAAGGCTCGGGTGCGCACGCGGTGGACTGTGGCGCCCGGGCTCCTCGCTTAGGGCCGGGAAGAACCCTGCCCAACCCGGCTGGCGCCGGAGTCGCCCGGTGCCCCGCGGGTGCGACCTTCGCCACTCCCCACCCCCAGCCCCAGGTCTCCCGTCCTCACCTTGCTCGCCCTCCATCCACAACAACGGCGAGCCCCTCTTCTGCGCACCGGGCGCCTCTTCACTTAACATCTTCCGCCTCCTGCCTTCTAGCAAACCTCTGCCTTGACTATTCTGCTCAGCCTTGCCCCCCTCCCCCGCGACACGCCTTCTACCACCCCTGCTCCAGCACGCTCTCAGCCCAGCACCCGGGACCGGGGAGGCGGGGCGGCCTTAGTCGGCCCGGGGGTCCGAACCCGCGGCGCCTTCCTCCACCCTAACGCCCCATTGTCCTTCCCTTTACAGCCCAAGCACCAGCTAAACCCCGGGATCTAGAGAAAGTGGACTCTTAGTGGAGGTGCACCTATTGCACTCCGCTAGTCCACGCTCTGGAACAGGGTCACTGCAGCGGGGGCGGGGCGGGGAGCGACCCGGGTACCGACACTGAACCCGGAGAACCGCGAGTGCCTTCACCTTCGGGAGCGCGGAGCTCCGGTGTCCTGGCCTGCCCTCACCCGGCCAGGGGACCCAGCGGGCGGGACCTCCAAGTGGAAGGAAGCGCGTTTCTTCCAGCCTCACTGGTCCCAGGCTAAGGGGAGAGGAGCCTGGCGTAAGGGGTCACAGAGTAGAGACTGCAGCCACGGGCCGGGCAAGTGTGGCCTCAAACAGCACCGGGGGACCAGAGGCGGGCAGCGGGTCCCGTTCTCACCGCGCGGCGCTCGCCGAGCTCCCGGGTCACCCTTCCCCCGCACGCACGCGGAGCCTGGGAAACCCCGGTGTCCCGGCGCTGACGGACGCTCCCGCGCGCCACCAATGTGCCTCGAGCCTCCCGTCCTACAGTGAAGCCCACTGGGCGCCAAATGCCCCGGGCACAAGCACCCTGCGCGCCCCCGACTGCGGGGAATGGGGAGCCCGGCACTTACTGGGGCTCAGGAAACACTCCGTCAACCTTCGGAAGCAGCTCGCATTATTAGAAGGTCCATCTTCCATGTCGGAGCCGAAGAACAGGGAGGACGCGGCGGCGAGGGCGAAGCCGGCGCCTTGGGGCCGCCGCGGATTTCGGCCGCCGCCGCCTGGGCTGGGGCCGGGGCAGCCCCCGCCGGCACCCGGGAAGCCGGGGGAGCCCGCGCGGCGGGCGGCCGGGCCGAGCGGGAGCCGGAATCCGGCGCGGGCTGGGAGCAGCAAACCCTGGAGCGCGGAGCAGAGGAAGAGCCGCCGCCGCCCGCCGCCGCTGCCGCCGCCGCCGCGGGGACTACTGCTGGGAGGGACGCTCAAGGGAGCTGCCTCTTGTCCTCCTCCTCCGCCGCCGCCGCCAGCATCGCCGCCGCCTCCTCGAGCCGCCGCCGCCGCCGCTGCGCCCTCCCCTCCCGGGAGACGCACGGGGAGGTGAAAGGCAGATGAGGAGGGGAGAAGAGAGGGAGGAGGCGGGGGGGGCGGCGGCCAGAAGTAAAAGGAAGATGGAGAGGAGGAGGGGACAGGGGAGGAGAGGGCGAGCGCGAAGGGAGCGCGGGCCGAGCCCCAGCCGCCGCTGCCGCGAGCGCACAGGGCGCCCGGGCCCCCCGCGGGGCTGGCGCGGCCTGCGGAGGAGGGGGGCGGGCGCGGGGGCGCGGCGCGCTCGGCCCGGCCTCGGCCAGGCAGCTCGGGGGCCGGACCCGGGCCCACCGCGCTCCCCCCGCCGGCAGCGCCGCGCCAGGGCTCCGGGCGGAGTTTGCCGGGGCCGGATCCGGGCTCGTCCCCGGCCGCCGGCAGGGGGGCCTGGGGGCGGGGAGCGAGCGGCTCTACGGGGCTGGCCATGGCCCTCCGCCCTGGGCCGCGGTGGGGCAGGCCGCCGGCGGGAGGGGCGCGCCGCGAGCCCGGACTCGGCGGGCTCCGCCCCCGCAGGACCTGCCTTCCCCGGCGGGTCGGCCCGAGCGCGGGTCTGCTCCTCCTCTCCGGTCTTCCGCACCCCTCCCGGCCCAGTCTTCACATTGCGTCCCGCTCTGGGTGCGGGAGGACCTAGGGCCGGGCGCGAGTCCCCGGCGGCGGCGCCTGGCTGCCGGCTGGCGCGCACAATCGGCGTGCTCCCGGCCGGGGCGAGGGGCTGCGGAGACGCTGCCTGCAAGCGTGGCGTGGTTTGTGCGCGCTCCGGTGGCTGAGCCTCGGCTACTGCTCGAAAGCAGCGGAGAAAAGCGCCGCAGTGCCGCTGCCCGTGGAGGAGGTGGCGGCGGCGGCTGCAGAAGACGCCCACTGGCGGAGCGGGCGCTCCCCACGCCGCCGCCGCCCTCCCCCACGTAGTGCGCCCCGCCGCCCCTGGGCCCCCGGGCTCCAGGTCCGCGCACCACCCGCGGCCCTCTGAGGACGCTGGGCGCCCGGGCCCGGGGGGTGGGGGTAGGGGCAGGGGAGCTCCTGCGTCTCTGCGGGGCGTCGTCACATCTGGGTCTGGTGTTCCGGATTCTAAATCCGCCGCCCAGCAGCTGCTGCAGCTGTGCGCTGCTGGGCAAGCCACGTCGGCCTGTCCCTTGCCCGAGCTAGCGAACCCTGGCTGGCCAGCAGCTCCAACCGAGCTATGCTCAGAGCTCCCGGGAGAGGAGTTCAAACTCGGACGTTTGGTTGGAGTTTAAATCAACGCACAGTGTTTCCAATGAACTGAGATTTAGAAAGCCTATCCATCCTCCAGGACTCCCTTTGCAAAACACACTTTAAAAAGAACTTCGTGCGCGCAGCCCAGTTTGCCCGGTAAGAATGGAAAGGGCAATTATGGCTCAAAAAAGAAAAACTGCGAGATCATCCCCCCAAAGTCCTGAGGACCACTTCCTCACCTGCGGCTTTTTGGGACAACACCACCCCCCCGGCCCCGCTCCATGCCCCCTCCTTTCCAGCCCTGACTCCCAACAGTTGCTCCTGAACTGAAGGGAAATGTGCCGCCCAATGGGCGCTCAGAACAAGGAGCCGCCAGAAGTTTGGGAAGTTGAAGCGCGAGAGCGCACAGATGCACAGATGCCTGCGTCTCGGCCGGCGCGCTGCACGGGGTCACCACCGCACTCCGGGTCCGAGCGGGGGGCGCAGGCCTGCTGCCGCGCAGGGGGACGAGCTGTCCAGACTCCCTCGACTAGGTCACCTTCCCAGGACTGGGGCACACGCCCCGAAGCCCAGCTTCCACGAAGGGCAAGACGGTCACCTGAGCGCGAGGCGTGCGCGGCGGTGCAGCCGCTTGGCTGACACAGGGCTAGGGGCCCGGCGTGCGTCCGGCCCCGGGGCCGTTTTTCGCTTTCCACGGTGGTCGGTCCAGTTCTCAAGTGTTTTTTATTTTGAAGTGTGCTCCAGATTCTTCCCTTGTCGCTGCTTTTTCCCACTCCCATCTAAACAGCCCATAGTGGAAATGAGCATATTTGTATTTGCACCAAACTGGGCAAATGGGGCGCCTGGGACTTGGTGTGCCTCCCCTCTCCCAGCAAAGGCTGAGGGCGTTTCTGCAATTGCGGGGCGCACTCCGAGCGTCGCGTGTAACAGGAGCCAGCCCTGGCTCTCACTAGGTCGTAATCCCTAAATTTGCGAAACAGGAAAAAGATTCCGGTGACTCTTACCTTACAGAGTGGGTATTTTGCCGTTGCCTTTGCAGTTTTTCGACGAAGGAAAAACTAGAACGATCAATCAGCCTCACAGGCGACGCGTCTGAGAGGCACAGACTCGGTCGTTGGGTACCGGGCGTCGGGAGATTGCACCCGCTGCGGACCTGGCCGCGCGGGGAGGGTCGCGGGAGGCTGCCCACGGGGCTGGGGAGCACATGCTTCTCCTCGGAGAATTTGCTCTTCATTCTTTTACACGCAAAATGTTTCTCCTTGTCCTTTACGTTTCCTTTGTTGCCTTTTGGAGTGATTAAAGTGGCTTTCCAATTACAAGAAAATGTACATGTAGTTCGGGTATAAATCTCCATATGGGCGCGGTAAGCGGGGCGGGAACCATCAAATATTTGCTCTCTGAGTCTTGGTTAAATCAGAAGACAAACTTTAGATTCTTTCTAACTCTAATGGAATAAAACTTCTTTCTGGCTTTTCGTCCTTCTTTTCTCCAAACGCTTGCTGGAAGGCACACGTTTCCTGGACAAATTAAAAACGACAAAGCATGACAACGGAAAAGGAGCACGTCGCGGAGGTGTTTACTGATTATCGATTACATTGGTTCGTGACTCCCTACTTGGTACTGGAGTTCACCTCTGTAAACGTCAGTGTAGTAGGCACCCGGCCACTTTTCCTTTCTTGATGAAATACTGTTTAGTCAAAGATTTAAATTACAAACACACGGACGTAGAGGCTCCGTCACTCACCCCTGTGTTCAGATGTTGCAACACCGGCAGGATGTGTCTCTTGTGGGTTCTTTTCCTTCTCTTTGAGCTTCTCTAGTGACATATCAGAAGAGGGAGAAGATTGTCACTAAACGTTTGTTACTCCAAACCTTTTGTGAATAAACACATTGGCCCATAATTCAGTAAGCGCCGTTTTCTGATTGTGCCCATGAAGTTTGCGGTATAGTTATATGTCAGAAGGTTCTCAGATTGCAGTACCATTTACACACAACTTAAATTATTAGTTGTAACTCCAGGAGCATGGGATGAGCAGGGGCAGGAAGTCAGACCATTACAATGCTCTTTGTGAAATAAACGATTTTCTTCATTCTCAACTGAGAAAATGCCATCCTATTGCAAAGAATAAAAACTAAAATAATGTTAAGAGGGCAGTGAACACTAGTAAAGCTGCCAAAATTATGATGATCAATGTTAAATATAAAAGCATTTGTCTCTGCCCTTTAGCAAGAAAAATGATCAGGAAAGAAGTTTATCTGGGTAACTGAAAACTTATGCTTCAGCATCTGCCTGATTATGCTCTCATTGGAATTATTTGTTCTTAAAAGCACTTTAAAACATGGGTCAAGGTAGAGTCTAAGATATTTTTAAATGATTTCCTCATAAATTTATGAAATTTCTTTATAATACTTTAACCATCCACCCCTTTTAATAGCCTGAAGTTTACAATAAATACGGTTAAATTTTATGAAATTTCGGTCAATGTGCAGGCCTGTGTCTTAACTGATTTTATTTTGCAACTTTTGTGATTAGTGCTGACAGCTGTCCATTTCACATTGCTGACTGAGTCTTGATAATCTTTTTTCTCCTTTCAAATGCTAGTAACCTTTCTTTATAAAGGTAAGAAACAAGAGCTGATTAAATATTAAACTCATCTACTTATACGGGTAAAGTCTGTTAAAAAGACACATTGTCTTTCCTTGATTTTAAATGTTCTGACTTAGAGAAATCTACAGTTTCTGAGAACAATAATTCATAAGCAAGTGGCTCTTGCTCCCAAGTTTCATAGAAATATGAGCATTTTCATGCCCGATTTTCAATTTAATTGCTAGTAAATTATCAATTTATATGTCACTCAGGTGTGAGATAGAATATCACACAGACCCTCTACATTCTAATGAAATAATTTATTAGTGATTATCTGGCAGGCTGAAAATGGAGTCAGGTGTTGGGCTTTTATTCACTCACCCTCCTAAGCCTCCCAAATCCCTCCCTCCTGGTTCTAAGTTTGTCATTCCCGGAAGCCTCCTTCAATTTTTCTTTTCCCTAGCCCACCATAGCTTCGTTGTCTAGACTCCTGGAACTGATGGGTTTTAATCTGCACATATGAACATTTTGTATTAAATCTCTTGAGAAATGTAATGCAGGTATAATTTGTGTTGACAATTCCATTTTAAACAGCTTGATATCAGGGTCCTGCTACTCTTACCACTCATAACCTTTCATAAAGGCCAGCATAAAATAGGCATTCAATGATTGCTCCCCTACCTGTCGCCTGCATGCCCAATGCTTACAAGTTTCTTTTAGTGTTGATATTAATAAATCTCGACTAAAGTGAGGGGTGCATGCCTACAGTATTGTTGTAGTTAAGCCTAAAAACCAAAGGTCATTATAATTTAGTAAGAAAACATTATTATAAAGTCAATACACTGTATGGCACAGTCCTGAAAAAGACTAATACGATCAAAAAACCAATTCA